TTGACAGCGTCTTGCTCTGTTACCCAGGCTGGAGTGCAATGGTGTGATCTCAGCTCATTGTAACCTTCACCTCCTGGGTTCCAGCAATTCTTCCTGTCTCAGCCTCCTGAGTACCTGGGACTACAGTCACATGCCACCATGTCCAGCTAATTTTTGTGTTTTTAGTAGAGATATATTGGTCAGGCTGATCTTGAACTCCTGATCTCAGGTGATTCACCTGCCTCAGCCTCCTAAAGTGCTGGAATTATAGGCATGAGCCACCTCACCAGCCTAATCTTAGTTTTCTTAAGAATCCATTATCCCTGCGGGCTCGGCTTTTAAGTAGCAAGCCATGGAAAACAGACTTTTACCACTTCCTGTTTCTCATGATTTGATATTCTCTAAGACAGACACAAGACAGTACATCCACTATCTGGTTTAATGGCGGGACAAAGAACCTGGACCAGGCCCTGTCTTGCAGGTAGCCACTCTTGTAAGCATCCCTCTCCAATCCTTGTCTACGGTGAAACTTTAGATAAAACCCTAAAAACTCTTTGCCATTCAAGCTGGGGATTCTTGGGTCATGCTTATTAAGAATGGCCCAAGTTGGGGGTCAGGGCCCTATATTCAGCCTGAACACAAGACACAGAGAAGCAGCAGGAACTAAGCACCTCCCAGAACATAATCTAGTTGCTTCAGTGTCTACACTGGGGTTAATTTCCTCCTTACTACAGCCATGTAAATGTCAAAAGAAAAAAAATATGCTGTATTTACAGAGCATGTGTATTTTTGGGAGTGCTTCAGTGTTTAATTGTTGCTAAAGTCATTTGGGGTTTTTGACATAGATTCTATTTTAGTAAGATAAACTCAGCATAACCCAGCATTGCCAAAAATGAATTCCTAAGGTAGATGACTAAAATAAACCGGCAATAAATATTGGCTGTTGGAAGGGAATTATATTATATCTCTGTAATGTAGACACAGCATTAATGACTCATTTTCAAATTACAGTGTCTCCCAGGGATTATTTGTATCAGGGATCAGGGAAGAAAGTAGTTCGTTTTCTTCTTCTTTTAGACAGCAGAATTGAAGAGGAATATGAACCCATCAGGCAAGGATGTTCTTGTACCTATTTAGCCAAGAGAGATACAGGCCCTGGAGTCCAACAGGGAGTTAACTTGAACAGGCTGCATTGAGGCTGACATAAGGCATTGGTAGAAAAAATGCTGGGGGCTGAGGTGGCTGATTCTGGGGATAGTTTTCTCTCATTCCCCTACAGGCAGAGGGCGCCACCGGGTTCACCTAATGCATCTTATGTGGCCTGAATGATCTTATCAGTTACATTGGTCCTGCCATGTTCCTCTGCTGCTTGGAATTAGTGGACCCTTTTAGGTCTCCTTTACTCCCTAAGGTCAAATTTTGATCTTTTGGCCCATGAGGTTGAGTTTTACAACTTCTCTGGTGTACCAGAAAGCAGTCTGACGCAAACGTTAGGCTACAGTTTGGGCAGGGCACAAGATGATCTTGACTTGGTCACACGTGGCTGGACTGCACAGTCAGAAGGGGCTGAGGCTTCTGTGGGAGTGGCCGCTGGAGCTCCATGGGAAGCCGGTCATTTTCCATTTTCCACTTTTCCAGGCATTTGGGCTCATGAATAGGAAGGGATAGGGTGCCAAATTCCCTACCACAAATGTAGCAGATAACAGCCCTTGGTCGGGCTGGGGTTCCACCAGGAGCTTTCCTGAGGCCAGTAAGGTGATCAGAACTATTAGAGTGTGGTGCTCTGGGACCCTCACCCTTTGACTTGCAGCTTCTCTGATGAACGAGAAGACGATCTGGTAAGAATGTATGGCCACAGGATTCACAGGGCAGCAGCTGAGCCTGGGCACTCTGAAATGCAGCCTCATTCGTTGCCTGAAGACTGGAGGACCCACTGCCACCTAGAGACTGTGGTTTGGAGGGTTCTGGCCTCCTCAAGTGCTTGGGCAACTTGCTATTTTCAATATGCCACTTCTGTAAGCACTGGGGTTCATGAATGGCAATTGACTGGGACCCAAATTCTCGACCACAGATATAGCATACCCGCAATCCAGGCCTGCGAGCAGGGATCACAGGGCGGCTAAGCTGGCTTTCCGACATACTTCTTCTACTTGATGGTTTTGATAGTATTACAGTTCCAGGTCTCTTTTTCTGAGTGTCTGTCTTTATCTTTTCACCAGGATTAACTCTCTCTGTTTCTGGTGAAAGGCTAGAATAAGAGTCACTAGAGAGAAGCCCAGCTTCGTTGATAAGGAAGGTGGGTTCTTTAGAAAGGTGGAAAGTTTGTTGTAACTCATTGGAAATTATTTTCTTCTTTCCTCTTTCCATTAACAAAGATACCTTTCTGCAGTGCTTGCTCTGATTTCAGACCAGACTCACTTTGGGCTTCTGCTTAGAGTGGAGGTTAGTGAGGTTGGTTGTCCTGGGGTTCACACTGTTGCCAGTACCTTATTCCCACAGACCATGACTCAGAGCTTCATTGCAGGGCAGCAGTGTGGAATGCTGGAAAGTCCTCATTAAACCTGAGATGTCTCCAAGATCTGTGGAGGGGGGTGAGAGACATAAGAAGTTATTATGTACACACACACACACACACGCGCACACACACACACACACACACACACATTTGGATTGTAAACTGATAAAGGGCAATGAGTATTTTTTGTGTTTTTTTGCTTGTTTTAAATATTGACCTTGTATACTTTTTGACTAGCATAGTAACCAGCATATGGGATTTGGTCAGTAAACTGAAATAAACCTGAAGAAATCTTCCATCATCAATTGCATTATCACTGTGTTGGAAATAGTGCTCTGCCCGGGCCAGGCGCAGTGGCTCACACCTGTAATTCCAGCACTTTGGGAGGCTGAGGCAGGCGGATTGCAAGGTCAGGAGTTCAAGAACAGCCTGACCAACATGGTGAAACTCTGCCTCTACTAAAAATACAAAAATTATCTGGGCGTGGTGATGCACGCCTGTAATCCCAGCTACTCAGGAGGCTGACGCAGGAGAATCGCTGGACCCTAGGAGGCAGAAGTTGTAGTGAGCCGAGATCGAACCACTGCACTCTAGCCTGGGTGACAGAGCAAGACTCCGTCTCAAAAAAATAAAGAAAATTAAAAAAATAGCACTCTGCCCAAAAAGTTAACTTGACAATTACAGCACATCATAGATACAGATGACACAAACCAACAGAAGCTGAGACCAGTGTTGTGAGACCATAGAATAGAAAACTGCGAACTGTGGAAATTAATGAAATCAGCAGGTCATACAAAAAGACCCCCTGGGCCCCACAAAAACTTCCACTACGTCAGAGATTCTTAACTTGTTAGTGACATGGATTCCTTTGACAATTCTGTGAGGCCTATGCACTTCTCAGAATAATATTTTGGTAAGCAAAAAATAAAAATGGTTGCTATCATGGGTGAAATCAGTTTTACTGAAGTAATTTGTCAAATATTTCTAGTCGTTATATACGTTTTTTTTTTTTTTTTTGAGACGGAGTCTCGCCCTTGTTACCCAGGCTGGAGTGCAATGGCGCAATCTCGGCTCACCGCAACCTCCGTCTCCTGGGTTCAGGCAATTCTCCTGCCTCAGCCTCCTGAGTAGCTGGGATTACAGGCACGCGCCACCATGCCCAGCTAATATTTTGTATTTTTTAGTAGAGACGGGGTTTCACCATGTTGACCAGGATGGTCTCAATCTCTTGACCTCGTGATCCACCCGCCTCGGCCTCCCAAAGTGCTGGGATTACAGGCTTGAGCCACCATTATATACGTTTTAATTGAGATAAAGTCTTGTCACAGACTTCTTGAGTGTCCATAGACCTGAAGTTAAGAACTCTTGCAGAAGAAGTAATTCAAGAATGAATCTTATAAGGATTATCAGGATAGCCCTCAGAAGGACAGAAAAGTCTTGTAACACATCAGGTATTCACTTTTGTTTATTATTGGCATAGGGTATTAATTATGTGTAGCTATAATTCTCCAGCAAAGAGTACAGCCTAGGCCAGAACCCATTCTGGTGGGATATCTGCAGATCTTTCATGGGATGATGATACACAGATGCTGCTTAGGGCTGTTTTTTTTTTTTTTTAATATTATACCCACTTTCTTGTTTTATATATGTATGACTTCTATATTTTTTTTTAAATATAAAACAAAGGCACTGGATTCCCCAAACCAGAAGAAGTGGCTGGTTAGAAATCCATTTATGGGAAGAAGCCTACATTTTTATATTGGGAAAAGTCATGAGTAAATTTTACCAGGAGTTTATAATCTGGCTCCCCAAAAGGATGATGTTAAAAAGCCTATTGACCTTATTCATTTCCTGAAGGATGACCCAGATCAGGGTGATAACCTGTAAAGCATCCATTCTTAACCACAGAAGAAGCAGCCCCTGGTGTGAAGCTGGCTCCTGCACATCGTGGCAAACACTCCAGTTCAGGCAGTGCAAGACCAGCAGCCTGGTAATATGGAAACCCTGGGCATTCGTTTCGATAAGGAACAAAAAGAGCTGTGAGATCTCTTCCCAGCTCCTGTATTTTGGTGCCAAGAAAGGTCTGAATCCTTGCCTTTAAGAGTATCAAATCAGGTCTGGCATGGAGAAGGAAGTTATTCTTCATTTTGATAGATTCCAAGACAGTAATATTAACAGATGTGGCAAAAGTATGTGTTGGCCCCAGAGTGGCCAGCACAAAAAATAAAATGGAGAAATTTATCACTTGATCAGTACCATCTAAAAGAGAAAGTAGATCTATGGAACATAGAAATAGGGTAAAATTATTTCATTAGGTTTTTAAACCAGCCCACGGGTTATTTCCACAAACCACTCTGCTTCATTGGCTCTGTTCACCAAGGAATTTTAGTTTATCATTTTCCTTGATACTAGGAAATTGCAGACACTAGTATGACTTAAGAAGAGAGATTTAAAAAATCAATGCAATCAAATAAATCTCCTTCCCCTAAATTTTCTCTGGCTCTGTCACTCTTTCTCTCAATCTCTCTCTCTCTCTCTCTCTCTCTCTCTCTCTCTCTCTCTGTCACACACACACACACCCACACACTCCTATTCCCAGCAGATTAGAATACTGAGAAATCCCCATGACTTTCTCCAACAACCCCTCCATCTCCCTTTTTATAAGGTAAGAGAAGTAATATTTATTGAATGCCAATTATGTGCAAAATATTGCAATGATTTTTTGTAAACATAATTTTAGTTAATTCTCAAATCATTATGAAGCAGGTATCATTATTTCAATTTTGTAAGTAAAGAAACCAACTCAGGAAAGATAAGTGATTTGCCCAAGGCTGTCAGTTTCTAAATGACAGAACTGTGAATCAATTCCAGCTCTCTTTGGCTCCAATACGTGGCTCTTTCCATTATTCATTCTGCCTAAATTCCTCCAGCAGAGCTTCTTCCCTTTAGTTTTATCTCTGTTTAATGTACTATCCATATGACTCAGGGGATGGTAACTCAGCTCTCAACAGCTGTTATGCTTCCTTTTCGGAGAAGGAAGGGGCAAGAGGGAGGAGGGCAGATAAGACACAGAGGAGAAACCTCTGAGAGGGAATAAACAGAAGAGGGAGGCTGGGACTACTGAACACAATGTTTTTAATGTTGAGTGATGGGCCATTTTTTTTTAACAGGTTCAGCAGTACACATGCAGATTTGGTCTATGGGCATATTGCATAGTGCTGAGGTTTGGAGTACACATGAGTCCATCTCCCAGGCAGTAAGCATAGTACCTAATAGGTAGTTTCTCAGCCCTTCCTCCGCTTGCATTGCCCCGTGTCTGTTATTCTCATCTTTATGCCCACGTGTATTTGACAGTTACCTCCCACTTATATGTGAGAACATGTGGTATTTCGTTTTCTGTTTCTGCATTAAGAATCACTTTATTTTGCCATATACAGTTGTGTTCTAGATGTAGTTTTTGCTGAGTGATGTGCTGTGCTGATTCTTTTCTTAATTTCTCTAATATCTTCAGAAAAATCTACATAACCAGTAGAGGTAGTGACCAGTTGTGGGAATGGGGCAGATCAGCAATGAATGATATGTTTTGTCTGTCTTTATCATGGGCACAGAGTAAAAGTGAAGGCTTCCCCAAGAGGCCAGGTGGTGCTCAGTTTGAAGCCATGTCGCCATTTTGATTAGGGATAGAGCTTACTGTACAGAAACATTTGTGCACTGCAAACATTTTCTCTGCAGCAAACACGATGAAACATTACAAAATGTCCGTTTCAATCTTCAACTTTTTTCTACCATCCCTTTCCTCCTCCAATGTTTTCCTGAAATTTTTCTCTTATTGTCAGTAAAAGTAACAAAATATGGAAGATGAGGTAGTTGGAAGCCAGTGACATTTTTGGGAATGGAGGTGTCTTGTGGAGAAATGCATCATGTTTCTGCCGGTGACTGTGCAAAGGCCACATGCCATGGCACAGCAGTGTTTGTTGCTCTCCCTTTATAAGTTAGCTCTAAAAGCAAAAGTGCTGGGAAACACTAAATGCATATACTTAAATCATCTAAGAAATTGGCCTGTCACCCAAAACGTCATCAAGCAGTGTTGCTAGGTTATTAAGAGAACCACTTTGCAAAGCCAGCCAGTTTTACCTCAAGCGTCTCTGGGGAAATGTTCACTCAGTTGGCCTGAATTATTCGTTTTGACCATATCTGCACATAGGACATTTAAAGAATGTTTTGGAAGACATCACTTTTTATCAACATGATGCCATTTTTCCATTTTCTTCAGGGTTCATGGGAAGGGAGAGACAAACACATGAAGATGAATGTAATAACCATGGAAATCCAAAAACCATCTTGGCATTAGAAGGTGTCTCTTTAAAAGAGAGGAAATAGAACACAATGAAAAGTGTGATCATATCTTTTAAAAGATCATGTAGTCATTTGAAACAAAAGAAATATAGTTGATACATGACATGACCCCTTCTCTATTAGTATTGAATTCAAATTCTTTAAATGGACAAAAATATAAACAAGAAAGATGGAGTTGGGGCTGATGGTGGCTCTGAGCAAGATTCTAAATTAGAGGAGATTCATCTTCAATATTCTTTATCTGCCCCATTCAGCAGCCTCCACTCTCTAGCCTAGTATCCCTATGGGCTCACCAATCCTTCTTACCTATGAAATCTTGCTTTCAAAAAGGAGCTGATGGACTCATTCACACCAAAGCTTATAACTGATCAAGTAATATCCCTTCCAGTGTCTGACAGAGACACTTAGTTCCTTAGCAATAGCCATTCCACTCAACTCCCTCAATTAATAGACCCCAGCTTTCAGCTGTGCACATCTACAAGCTCCTTTGCAGTTAGTGAAAATATTGTGTGTGGAACTTGTAAGAACAATTCTTGAAAAGGAAGAAGAGCACAACTGCTTCTCTTCCTTTCCTTCTTACTGATGGAAAGGACTAGCGCTCTGGCAGCCAGATGAGAATAGATTTCATTTATGTAACCCTTGATAGGACAGAGCAGAGACCTGGGTGGACTTGGGTCCCTGATAATGCTGGAACCACCATTGAAGACC